TGTGTGGGTGTGTGTGTGTGTGTGTGTGTGTAATTGATTTGGTAGCTGGAGGAACCCAACCCCATTGAAACTGAGTCCTGCAAATAGCTCCACTGGGGGTGAGGAGCTGCAGAAAGGAGAAATACAGCTCCATATAGAAACGCAAGTAACACAAGCAGCACATTAATAGAATTACAAAGACCCTAAAATGTACCCCTAATAAATGAGCACACCCCAAAGTGATGGTCAAATCTGGTAACAGAATAACCCACCAGGTTTTTTTTTTTCTCTCAACCGCCTGAATGGCAGACTCCTTATTTACTAGAAAGAGATTAAGTTCCTTGGAAGCCTTGAGTTTATAGAACTAAACCTCTCTAGCTGATATGAGTTTGTATTGTCTTATATATTCAATGGAGAAAGCTTTCTGATTCAGAGTCTTTTTAGCTCTTTGAACAGTTGCAGCATTTGTAGACCCCCATAATAAAAGTTTATTCCATGGTTTTTATGAACCAAGACAAGGTCTTTTCCTTGGATATGTCTCCTCCTCTTCATCTTCCTCTTCATCATCGAGATAATCCACCAGGCCAACTATATTTCCATTAGTGGCTACTACCACTGTAATCAAGTTTGCATTCTCTGATGAAGAGCCATTAGAGTTTGCTGGTGACATCTGAGCTGCTACAGATTTACTGCTTGTACTATTTGCTCCATGAGCTGCACTGGCAGAAATACGCTCCTGGGGCATGTCCCTATGAGCATGCATGTGCAGTTTGAGGTGCCACAAAGCAGTTTGAGGTGCCGCAAACTGCACACAGTACGTGTGCATGCATTTGCTGTGCTGCTAATTTGCAGCACAGTAGTTTTTTTGACACCGGGAGATGCTGTTGTCAAAAAAAACCACCACTGAAAAAAGCAGTGTGGCACATGTGGTAGCAATGTGCACTGCCAGAAAGGGAGCCTGGCCACCTAGAGCCACACTCTTGCTTCCAGCCAGGCTCTGAGCAGCCAGCTTGGCACCACTGCTGCCCCAGGAGGCCCCCAGGATCCCAGGTAAGGCTGCTGGGGCCAGCATAGGTAACCCCACCTGGGTCACTTTGCTACATGCCGGAGTGCAAGTACAGGGGCATGCCCAGAGACAAATAGCAGAGGCAAAAATATATGCTTCTGCTATTTGTCCCACAGGAAATGCACACCCCTGCATGTGCTCCCAGAGTTCATCAAGTTAGCTTGTAGTACAGGAAAGCTTCTAGTTTGTCACATATGCTAAATTCCTATATACAGAGATGTCCAAGAAATCCATTCTGTCACCCACAGCTGGATAGGAGGTATTGTTCCATCCTGATCATTGTTACTGGCAGCCTTAACTATGGTGATGGAATTGGCCAGGCAATAAAAAACTGAACTCAGATGAAATAAACACAATATTGAAATGCACCAGAGCACCTCCCTAGCAAAGGTTCTCCTAGGGCCATCAAATCTGTAGTGAGTAACTACACCAGCTTCCCAGAGAGTATGATGTTGATTCAAGGTGTCAGTGCCTAATTTTAAGTCACATAATGATTCATTTGTGCTCAGGATATATAAGCTTACCTCATATTCCAGGATTATGTTCATCACATGTTCCTCATGCACAATGGAGCTGTCTACTGCAAGAGCATGACTTATTTGCAGAGGAGACAGCTTTCCTGGGGGCAATCCAAGACTGGAATAAATTCCCATAGGAGTTCATGGCCACTTACAGTCCACTTTCATATGGGCTGCTTCAGCTGCCTTCACGAATTAAGACCCACAACAATTCACTAAACAACACAACAAATACCCACCATACCCTCCAAAATTTGGTATACACATCATTTCTTGGGAGAGAGATGGAAAATAAACAGAATCTGATGCAAGACAAAAAGTATTGCTTAACTGTAAGATGTTCAGATACCATTGTGGCTGAGCATGGAATCAAAAAAGAGAAAGAGACTGGCATCACTCCAAGATTTTTAAACTTCCCCCATGTGTGCATGCACTTGTAACTGACAGGTCATTTATCCTCCTAGAAATCAAATGAAAATATTGAGTCTGGACTCAGGGTAGGCACCTCTGCAATTAGAAATATTCTAAGGACAGGTTTTGAACCGTTGATACACCAGATACAACAATCATGCTAAATCCCAAATCTTGTTTAGCACCCTGCTATAGCCCAAAGATGGCACTTTGCTGTTGTTTTCTTTAGTTCATTCTGAAATTCCTTCCCTGATCTTTCTGGGGAGACTGCCCAGTATATCTCAGAGAAAAGTGTAAATGTTGAAACACACTATGAAAAAAGGTTTTAATAAGAAAAATAATATATTCACAATGAAGTCATTTAAGGAATAAAAATCAGAAAGTTCCAGGGGAGTCTGATCAATGAGAAACTACAGGAAAAATTAGAGAACTTTTCTCAATATCATTTATATTACTTATAACTACACAAGTCAGGCAAAAAGGCTGGCATCTAGGCCATAGGCAGGGATTGTCATTGATGACACAATGTGAGCATTTTGAAAAGAAAAAATTTCAACCAGCCAACGTCTATGTCTTCCTAGGGTATTTGCTCTAAACTCAGCCATTCTTATGTCAGTGTCACAGGGATGCCATCTTCAACATCATCATAATGTGCATCTCCAAGAGGCAGGGATGAATCTGCTTTCTCAGCTCCAGAGGCCACTTCACTTGTTAGTGAGTGCAGACTCCAACCTGAAAATATCAAAGGAACATGACAGTGACCACATACCCCACAGTGCACCTATGGGCACTGAACCCAAGTGCACATACAACCTTCAGCAGGGCTGTCCAACCAGCAGCCCACAGACTATATGTGGTTAACATGTAGCCCTTCAGCCCCGATGGCTGCCTTTCCTGCTGCCATGCAGTGGGGGAGGTCCCAGAGGTCTAAGTGCCACGAGCGCAAATTGTGGGATGGAGGAGAAGAGGGCTCTGTTCCACTGGTGCAGCCCATGGGGTGTGGCACAATGCTGCCATGTGCCACCAGTGGGGCTTTCCAGGGTACAGCCTGCAACAGGGGCCATGGGTTCTGCATGCCACTGGCATAGCCCATGTGGGGAAGGTACCAGGGGGTCATCCCCATAGTGTGGGCTTGTGCTGTGTGCAGCCCCTAGCTGCGCCAAAGTAGAACAACCCTGACCTACAGCATGGGCTGCCAGTTTTCTTCCCTCCATGATAGAATTACTGAATCATAGAAATGCAGGCCTGGAAGGGACCCCTAAAGAGGAAGGAACCCCAAGAAATCATCTTGCCCAGCCCCCTGGTGTTAAGTAAGAGCAAACAGACCTAAACTATCTACAGCAGATGTTTGTCTGGCCTGCTCTTAACAATTGTAACGAAGGCAAAATAGTTCTATTCTATTTAATATGCAGTGAACATAGTGTGCTTGGACTTCAATGAGGCTTTTGATAAAGCCTCACATGACTTTCTTATAAGCAAATTAAAGGAGTGTGGGCTAGATAAAACTACCTTAAGGTGAATAGGCAACTGGCTCAATAGCCATAAGAAAAGGGTAATTATAAATGGATCAGTGTCAGAATGACGGGAGGTTTTGAGTTGTGTTCCAGTGTCAGAACGCAGGCAGACAAGGCAGGCAGACAAGGCCTCAGCTGGCCCTGATTGCTCTGGGGGAGGGGGAATGGAGACATTGGCTACTAGCTGCCTGAGTGTCCCCCAGCTGGTCCCTGTTGAACTGCCTGGGTACAGCTATTTCATATAAGCAACAGCCTTGCAGTGCTCTGTGGGGTTTCAATAAGAGATATTTCCTGTCCTAGCTTCTGTGCACCTGATTCTGTGCTTCTAGTTTCCTAGTCCTGGTCCCCAATTCCTAGCTTTTACCTGAACCCTTTGCCTAACTCCCAGTGTCTATCTCCTGCCTGCACCTCTGCCTACTACCTTATGCCTAGATCAGGCACTGCACTCCTGGCTCATGACCCCCAGGTCTAGATTTCCCAGGCTTGTGCTCTTACTTCTGAACTCTGACCCCTACTCCATGTCTGAGTCATTCCTGCAACTGAGTGAGGACCTCCAAATGACAACATCTGCTTCAGAGAAGTTGTTAGTCCACATGATGGGCCCTCACCACTGGCTTTTCCTTAGGGGATTTGATGGCTGCTTGCAGAGCTTTGTAGACAGAACCGGGTGCATTTCAGGGTCAAAGCACTGCAGTGCAAACCCAAATAAAGACCCTTCAGCACGACACAGAAGTCTTGGGGGTCCAGACTTACTCAAAATATCCCTTTACCAACAACCACTCAGACCTACCATGAGCCTGCAGTTCTTCGGCCTGACAACTTTGGTGGCAGCCCTGGGGAGTTTTGTGGGGAGGGGATATTCAAGCAATGTCTCTTGTCCTCATAATGCCCCTAGACCTGCCCCCCTGATAAGGTAAAGGTGGGCCTGATGATCAGTCTTCTTTCTAGAAAGGCCCTGAGATAAGCCTGTCCACTGCTGAAGATGGGCCAGTCTCTTTGTGTACAATACAGATGGGTTTCTCCAGGCCATGGTACCAATGTTTAACCTCTTTTGGACCAGCCCACCAGAGATAACCCTGCAAGACCTGAGGCAGAGCCAGTAGTTCATCATCTACAAGATGGCTTTTTTTTCCAGCTAAAGATCCCAGCTAGAATGTAGCTGCCTCTTTTCTTGGACCTCCAAAAGCTGAACCACATCTATTCCTGGATCACCAGAAGCCCACTCCAGCCCCAACTCCAGGTCCAGCTCCACCTCAGATCCCAGAGCTTGCTCCCACTCCAGTTCTAGTTCTATCCTGATCCCAAAACCTACAAAATCTGTTCCAGCTCTGGCTCTAGCTCAGATCTTGACAAGATCTCCTCTATGCTCTAGGCCCATGCTCCTGATTCTGTCCTTCTAGCTCCCTAGTCCTGCTCCCTGATTTTTTAATCTTTATTCCCTAGTCCTAGCCCCTGCTGCATTGCTTCTGCCTCCATCTCTTCTCTAGCTCCAACTCTCTATTTCCTGCCTACAGCCATGCCTAGCCCTTAGAGTCTGGACTCCTGGCTTGTGACCCCTGGCTCTTGGATTTCCTAGACTTGTGCCCTCCCTGAACCCTGACACCCCACATCGAGATCTTGTTCATGACACACAGGTGTCTGTCCTGGGACCAGTGCTCTTAAACATTTAATTAATTATTTGGCTGCCAAAATAAAAGGCTTCCTAAGCAATTTGAAGATGGTGTGAAACTAGGAAAAACTGCAAACACATTGGAGGATAGGAATAGAATTCAGAAACGATCTTGATAGAAAGGAAGGAAGGGCTAGTGACAACAGGATGAAGTTCAGTGGAGACAAATGCATGGTGCTATACCTAGGCAAGAGTAATCAAAAGCACAAATACAGAATGGGAAATAATTGGTTGGATGGCAGCTTTGCCCAGAGGGATCTTGGGATTTTTTGGATCATAGACTCAATATGAATCAGCAATGTGATACAGTTGGAGAAAAAATAAAATGCAATTATGGGCTGAAGAAGTTAGAAAAACCTAACCTAAAGTACTATGTTCACTACTGGATTTCATATTTTAAGGAGGATGCAGAGAAGTTAAAGAGGGTCAAGAGACAGGAGATTAAAGTAATGAAGGGGTTGGAAGGCAAAGTTTAGAGAACTGAGCATGTTTAACTTATAAAACAGATGATCAAGGACCCTCTTGACAGCAGTCTTCAAATATCAGGAAGGCTGCTATAAAGAAGAGGGAGAACAACTTTTCTCTCTTGCTGAAGAAGGTAGGATGCAAAGCAATTACTTTAAATTGCAGCAAAGTAGATTTAGATTAAGTCTGAGGAGAAACTCCCTTACTGATAGAATAGTAAGGTAGTGGAACAGACTGCCTAGGGAAGTTGCGGAATCTCCTTCACTGGAAGTCTTAAGGAAGAGTTTAATTTAGATAAGCATCTGGCAGGGATAATTTAGGAGTAGGGAGCTGAACCAGATGACCCTTGAGATCCCTCCCAACCTTATGATTTTACGATTCAATATTCAATGCTTCATAGAAAGGCAAAGCAAAATAAAAAGAAAAAAAATCTTCCTGATTCCTCTAGACAAACAGCAGAAAACCTGAAGCATAGGGCTATAGAATATAAAGCAATGCATCAATTAGTGGTAGCATATTAAAATCCCAGCATAAGAAGGGTAAATAAGAGAAGGAAACAAGGAAAGGGATCTCACAACTATTTTTCCTTAATTGCACACACAAAACTTGGAATTCTGTATCATCTAAATTAAAGCACAACCTCAAAACACAAATCCAGCTTCCCTCTTCCCTCTAAAATGACTTTCTCCAGCTTTACCCTGTTCTCACCCTCAGCAAAACTGAGAATCTATACACTACAAATACTTTCCACAGAATGCAAGCAGCTTACTTGATGATCAAATCTTCTCTCAACCCTGTCATGCTGCTACCAAAATACTCAGAGCCTCATATCATGTGTTAATTACTACTCCAAGAATACCTCTATGGTAACCATGCTATCCCTTCAATAAAATTATCACACCCGACCTTAGAGCATGTAGGTTCTTTCCCCCAAATGCCTTGCTTGGAAATCTGTTGTGAGCTTCCCTCTGCTGGTTAGAGGCCTTCTTCTAATTTCCCCTCTAAATTTATATATGCACAATTTGTATAATTTGATCTTGTACAATATTACCTTTCATATAAATAGCCCATCATCAGCATCTTCTCTGGAGTGTATTTATATAGAATAACCATATAAAAACTCCGCCTTCATTTTACAAAACTGCCCAAGTCAATCTCCTTAATCTCTTTTCATAAAATAAGTTCTACTTGACCCTCAGCACCTTAGTAGTCCTTCTCTGTAGCTGTTCCAGCTTAATCTTTTTTTTTTTTTAACACTGGTGACCAGAACAATACACAGTCTTCTAAATGAGGTCTTACCAATGCTTTGTACGGTGTTAACAAAACTTCACTGGCTCTGGAAGAATGCATCTTAGAATTGTATTTGAATTTAATGCTCATACAGTACTGGTCATCATATGATTAACCAGTACAATCAGTGACTCCAATGAAGAAATGTTTATCTGATACCAAAAGTTTTTTAATTAGTCCTTAGAGGTATTTTTACACATGTGCCCAATGTAGCACCGGGCATTTTTAATTAGCAGTCCACATTAATTAAAAGCGCCTGGCGCTGTGTTGGGTACAAGTATATAAGCAGGGCAGCCTGCATCGGCACTGAGAAAATGGTGGCAGTACACTCTGAACTAAACCATACTGAATGTGTTTTAGTTCAAAATGCACTGCCTGCCATTTTCTCAGCACTGATGCACACTGCTCTGCTTATACACCTGCATCTGATGTAGCACCGGGCACATACATTACATGCTCCAGCAGACTCAATTTATCAAGTCTTCTCCGACACACTAGATTTCTAGCATGTCAGAGCAGACTTGCATGTGTGTAAGCTCCCTAAGTGTCTGAATTTGTAATTTTATGTCCCTCTTCTGTGTACTCTTCATCCTTCTCTGAGAAGAACTGAACTGCCATAAACAACAGAGAGAGCAACTGTTCTCCCTCACCACAGAGGGCAGGTCATGAAGCAATGGGTTTAAAGTAGAGGTGCACTGATACATCACTCCATATCATATTGGCAACAATAAAAGGAAAACTGACATTATCGGCAATCATCTTTTTTTGGCTGATTTGGCCAAGAATGCCACCAATAAATGCTGCATGCATGCGGCCAGAAGTGCAGCCCAGCAGCTTGGAGAGCAGCATCCAGCCAGTAAGTCTGTTGGAGGGAAGGGATGCAAGGGAGGAAAGGGGTGGGTGGAGGGGTAAATTGAGGCCCCTGTGGTGAGAGAGGAAGTGGGGCTAGGCTGGGCCAGGGGATGCACAGCTGGGGTGGGACAGGGCATGGGACAGAGTCACAGCTCATCCAGAGGGCATGGGAGGTTGGGAGGGAGGGCAGCTCCCAGCCGCTGCACGCATCCCCGGGGGAGGCATGGGGGGTACATGCCCCCTGGATCTGTGAACAGGTTGAGGGCAGGCTGCCACTGCATACTCGGGGCCAGAGGCTCTGCTAGGCTCTTCCTAGCAGGAGGGTTGGGCCATGGCTGCACTCAGGGCAGGCAGTGGCAGTGCTGGGAGAGGGGCTATGGTGAATTTTGGGATGGCTGTAGCAGTAGCACCCCCACCCCCTATGCTGCTGCCGCCTACCCCACCCTGCCCAGCCCAAGCACAGGCCCAGCCCAGCCCCCACACTGGGAACAGCCCAGAGCAGCCTCCATCCCTAAGCATGCAGCAGTCTGCCCTCACCCCACACACAAATCTAAGGGGCATATGCTCCCATGCTCCCCCAGGGGTATACGCAGTGGCAGGAGCCATCCCCCCCCCATGCCCTCTGGATGAGTCATGACTTCATCCCATGCCCTGCCCCATCCCAGTTATTCAGCACCTGCCCCAGCAGCAGCCCAGCCCCACTCCCTCCCTCACCATAGGGGTCTCAATCTGTCCCCCTCATGCCCTTTCTCTCCCCCTTGCCCTTTCCCCCCAACAGACTTACCAGCTGGATGCTGCTCTCCAAGCTGCTGAGCTGCATAGCAGCATTCAGACTGGTATTGGCCGATATGGCTGGTTAATAATTGGCCATCGGTATCAGCCCCAAAAAATCTTTATCAGTGCACCCTTAGTTTAAAACCGCAGCAAGGAAGATTTAGATTAAATATCAAGGAAAGGCGGGGAAAAAACTTTCTTATTGTTAGAACAGTGGGACAGTAGAACAAAGGTGTTATTGCCAGCCAGCCTTGGTCATTTTCAAGGAGCCAGGCTAAGCTGTGGAAGTGCTACTGAGCAGAAGGCCCAAAGCCTGTTTCTTGAGTCACCACAGTGTGAACCTTTGCAGATGTGACAGTTAACTTGGTCAGCAAGTAACAAAAACTATCAAACACAGTTAAACAAAGCCCAAGGCCTGAAAGAAGATAAGGGGAGACCATACATTAAATATACAATATATCATAGCTTTATCTTAAAGTAGGAGTAATAATAGTTGACATAACCAAATGTATTAGATTTTATTTTACTATAATAGATATATTTTTAGAAGTACACCAATACATCCATCCAATATCGGATCAGTACTGATAAAGAAAATGGTCTGCATCAGAAAGCGGCCTGATATGACTTAAATGTTATAAACAAACAGCGCATCTCACATTCATACAAAGGTTTGTACTAGATGACCCCTGAGGTCCCTTCCAACCCAAGAGTTGTATGAACCACAGGTTTTCAACCCCTCAAGGACTAAATCTCTGGGCAGCGGATGCCTCATTTCCCAACACAGTGCAAAGACAAAAGCCAGTAAAGTTATATATATTGATGTCTTCTCACTTAACTTATAAGTTTTCCTTGTAAGCTTTGGTACATTTTCTGTTGCCTAGTTTCTGCTGGGAAGGATAGGCTGTCAGTTGGCTGCTTCTCCTTGTTTCTCCAGTTAGCAGGTAAACAAAGTTCTCACCGATTCTCCCTGAATCTCTCCTGTTAACTCATTCAACCCTCTCCCTTCTCTGCAGCCAGCTCTTGTCATGGCTTAGCATTCTCTCATGGCTTGGCAGCCAGTTCAAAGTGTCTCAGCACAGTTCTGCCTTACACCATATACACATGCCCTAAGAGACTTTAGAGCTTCTTACATCCAAGATACATAATGTAATGGAGAATGATTGGGCTCCTTGCATCACAGTGCAGGTCAAGGGCAAGGATTTGAATATTGCAGGACAGTTATTCTCAGTTTGGGTGCCATGGGAAACTCTTACACATGATTCACAAGATAAACCAAGAGATTTCAAAGACAAAGTCATGTTCTCAAAAACATTTCTGACCTGTTGTGGTCTTTTTGAGCTCTTTGCAACAAAAGAATTGTTCTATTGTTTTTCCATTGCCAAAAAACAAGTCAAAACTAAGAGTCTGATTTTTCTGGGGGTGCCTAGAGACCAAAAAGGTTGAGAACAATCAGTGTAGGTTTTCATCAATTCCACCCAGTTCACACTAGCAAGATAATTTCATCAGGCGCATCCACATGAGCGTGCACGTGCCTCTTGCCCCTCTACAAACCCCTTTGAGGTGGGGCAACAGGCACATGTGGGAACAAAAAAATGTTCCCCGTGCTGCAAACTTGATATCCAGGGGTCTAAAAAAAAATAAGTATAAAAAAGCGGAGCAGGGCACAGTCCCCGATTATGCCCTGAGGCAACCGGAGGCAGGGTCCTGCATAGATATGCTCCAGCTGCCAAAGCATCTCTATGGTTGCCCCTCGCCCTGGTACTGAAACACGCGGCCAGCCATGCGGCGTGTTCAGCACCAGGGCTCCAGTGCCGGTAAGGGGTCAGGGGGGATGGAGGAGTGGGGAAGGGACTGTGGGTGGGACCCCCAATGGCCC